AAACTAAATAAAAGAATAATAATAATTAATATCACATTTAAAAACTGAAAAAATAATTGTAATTCAATCACATCTTAAAATAAAATAAAAAATAATTAATATCACAATCTTAAGATTAATGGAAAAATAATCGTAATTAATATTATATATATTATATATATCTTCATATAAATGAAAAAACAAAGTTAAAAAAGTTATGAACACAATAACTTCTAACTGTAACTAATCTCTAATCTTAAATGTGTCAAACGGCGCTAAGTCTTAATATCAATCAAATTCAATTACTGCGTTTCATAATTAAACTTGTGTACTTTCGTATTTGGTTCCTTACTTTCTGTCAAAGGAGATTGGATAGTTGCAAAAGTAGAAGAATGTCCTGCAAGATTAAACTGTAAAAAAAAAGTTAAAAATTTTTTACACTTATTTTGTGTACATGGTTGCGCGCGGCGCGCGTGTGTGTGGTGTGTGTGTGTGTGTCTGTGTGTGTGTGTCTGTGTGTGTGTGTGTGTGTGTGTATGTGTGTGTGTGTGTGTGTGTGTGTGTGTGTACTCACCGGAATAAGTGTTAATGGTTTCAAGATACTTTGTGGAACAAGCAGATATTTGTGGTCTGATTGTACTCTGCAGACTTTTAGTAAATGACTCACCGGAATAAGTGTTAATGGCTTCAAGGTACTTTGTGTGGAACGAGCAGATATTTGTGGTCTGACTGTACTTTGCAGACTTTTAGTAAATGCATCCAGAATCATGCTTGTTTGCTCTCTTTGAAATTCTCGCTCCTTTGTTAATTCCTCTTGTTCCCATTTCCTTTGCTCCATCATTTCGTTATGAAACATTTCTTTTTGGAATTCCATCTGTTTGTTCGCGATACTGTTAAATAAATCTTTTTGATTTTCCAACCACTTATCATTATGACTCTGCAACATGATTTCATAGCTTCTTCTTCCTAAATATAAAATTTTTATACATCTCTACATATGTAAATTAATATCTATATTTCCTATGTATAATAATTATTAATTATTTGTAAAATAAATTTTAAAATATACACTAAGATCGGAAGAGCAC